TTTTTCTGTGCTGGTGTTGTGGACTCAGGTGAATATGATGTTTGTGATGTTACTCTGAATGTGTATCCACACCGGGCGAGCTTGGAAAATATGCCCGGCCACGGTGGGATTCGAACCTACGACCTTTGGAATACTAGCCCAATGCTCTTCCAACTGAGCTACGCGGTCAGGACGGTTCGAGTAAGTGATATTTCGGAACAGAATCTAGTTCTTTCAATACCAGTGTAATCTTGTAATATGATTAATTCTGTGTTGGTGTTGTGTACTCAGGTGAATATGATATTTGTCATGTTACTCTCAGTGTGCATCAACACCGGGCGAGCTTGAAAAATATGCCCGACCACGGTGGGATTCGAACCTACGACCTTTGGAATACTAGCCCAATGCTCTTCCAACTGAGCTGCGCGGTCAGGACGGTTCGAGTAAGTGATATTTCGGAACAGAATCTAGTTCCTTCGATACCAGTGTAATCTTGTAATATGATTAATTCTGTGTTGGTGTTGTGTACTCAGGTGAATATGATATTTGTGATGTTACTCTGAGTGTGTATCCACACCGGGCGAGCTTGGAAAATATGCCCGGCCACGGTTGGATTCGAACCTACGACCTTTGGAATACTAGCCCAATGCTCTTCCAACTGAGCTACGCGGTCAGGACGGTTCGAGTAAGTGATATTTCGGAATAGAATCTAGTTCTTTCAATACCAGTGTAATCTTGTAATATGATTAATTCTGTGTTGGTGTTGTGTACTCAGGTGAATATGATATTTGTGATGTTACTCTGAGTGTGTATCCACACCGGGCGAGCTTGAAAAATATGCCCGGCCACGGTGGAATTCGAACCTACGACCTTTGGAATACAAATATCATATTCACCTGAGTACACAACACCAACACAGAAAAATCATATTACAAGATTACACTGGTATCGAAGGAACTAGATTCTGTTCCGAAATATCACTTACTCGAACCGTCCTGACCGCGTAGCTCAGTTGGAAGAGCATTGGGCTAGTATTCCAAAGGTCGTAGGTTCGAATCCCAGCGTGGCCGGGCATATTTTTCAAGCTCGCCCGGTGTGGATATGCACTCAGAGTAACATCACAAACATATTATTCACCTGAGTACACAACACCAGCACAGAAAAAAAAAAAAAAAGCAAAAAAAAAAGCGTATATCATTATCAGTATACAATATTTTGTAATTGTATACGTGTAGTATCAATATCTATGGTATAATTATATAACTATGTAAAAATGTAATTCTTGGAAGCAAAGCCACGTGAAATTCTTGGAAGTAACGTCGCGTGCAATTCTTGGAAGCAACACCGCGTGTAATTCTTGGAAGCAACACTGCGTGTATTTCTTGGAAAAAATGTCGCTTGCATTTCCTGGAAAAAACGTCGCGTGTATTTCCTGGTAAAACATCCGGTGTAGTTCTTGGAAAAAACGTCGCGTGTAATTCTTGGGAAAAACGTCGCTTGAAAATGAAATCAAATGAACGCCTGCACCTGACATTCTAAATCATTTCCTAATTTAGAAGCTAGGCCAACGGGGAAACAGGACGTGTTTGTTTTGACTGCATGCTGATCATGTGCTCTGGAACTTTCTGGTTGCTTTGGCTATATTGCATAATAAGTGAAAGTGAAACGATATTTACTACTATATAGTATTTTATAGTATCGATATCCGCCTCACACCTACAGTTGACAATTGACTTATATAAGTGAAGCGTTAACACAAAAGCAGGCAAAATCACATGTAGTCGCGAATAAGATTTGCTAGATCTAGAAATCCGGGCATATACTTCCGCTGTAGACTATTTGGCAACTTAATTAACAAGATCTCCTGCCGTGCGGCAGATTAATCTAAAAAATTGCTGTTGCGGCAGAAAAAGGATAAAAATGCTTATGCGGCAGGTTTTAATTTGTACCAGATAGACTGTAAAACAAGGTGCATATGTTTACTGGTGAAGACAAAAGTGGAAATAATAATATAGTTTATTGATGCGTTACATTAGCGCTTTTCACAACGAAATTATCTGCAATTTCGAACACAGTTTGGTGTAGTAAAATTCAAAATTTAAAATAAATCCAGTTTAGTACAGTCCGCATTTCACAATATGCCGGAGGATTATCCCTAACCAATCACAGACAGCGCAAATATATAATCACATGATTAAAAGCAAATAAATGACACGCATTTGAATACCAACGCCTCTATGTCGAGTCCTATTGCTGCACGACAAGAGCTATACACGGTTGCTTTCAAAGTTAGCATTTTGAAAACTTTTATAGCAAGGTAAATTTGTGAGAATCTTTGTGTAATTTGTTAGTATTTTACATTAATTATATACTGGTTTGTTTGATAACGTTTAAGCATTTGCGCAATATGTATAATAGCTATACGCAAGAAAACGGGCGTCTGAAGCGAAAGTTACGCCCTCGTAGGACATGTATGGTGATTTGTGGTATATAGTGATGTATAGAGTATAGATATGTAGACCTGCAGCTAACCCATAGCCCATTTCTAGTTGCAAAACTGGTCGCCAAAGCGTAACATGCATGCAACGGCTGCCTTAAAGTGCATCAACGTGATCGAGGAATGTGTGTCTGGATTTAAGGAAGTATAGCCTCATTTGCCATAATTTTAGATAAAACTGTAATCTTGCCGGCAAGCAGCCAAAACTGTCTTCGGTCTGAAGATAATCACTATTATACGCTATATTTACCATACGTTCTAAGCGTGATATAGCAGTATTAATTGAAATAGATAATATATAAGACCGTGCCATAAGGTAGCGCGTTCTAGAGAGATATAGAATTAGATATAGGAAGTTTGTTATTATAAAAGAACTTGATTAATTGATTGATAAAAGTATTTAATCAGGAAAACCAACATCACAAGTTGTGTTTTTCAGAAAGTCCCTGGCAAACTATACATTACAAAAGGATATACAATAATGTGCATGCATGCAGGTTATACGCGATATATATATATATATATATATATATATATATATATATATATATATATATATATATATATATGATTTTTTTTTTTTCTTGAGATTCTACTCGTGATGTAATGTGTAGGTGTTTTGAACTTCTTACGAGTATGAACCGGGCAAGCAGAAAATCAATTCTACTTGACCACGGCTGGGAATCGAACCCGCGACCTTCGCATTTCTAGAATGACGCTCTACCTTCTGAGCTACAAGGCCAAGTTGGGAACGATATGTAATTTATTTGTGATGTTAATGACATGAACGAATTTCTTCCTTTCCATGCCTGGTGCCAGCTATTAATACAGCGGAATGTTGCATATGATTTTTTTTTTTTTCTTGAGATTCTACTCGTGATGTAATGTGTAGGTGTTTTGAACTTCTTACGAGTATGAACCGGGCAAGCAGAAAATCAATTCTACTTGACCACGGCTGGGAATCGAACCCGTGACCTTCGCATTTCTAGAACGACGCTCTACCTTCTGAGCTACAAGGCCAAGTTGGGAACGATATGTAATTTATTTGTGATGTTAATGACATGAACGAATT